CATCGGCTTCGCATCGCGCTTGACGGGGGATCTCCGCTCCTTGCCATGGCTTCCCAGAGACTCCAATATCCCTTAATTAAGGAATATACCTTATACTATAGTAGGATCCTTAATATGAGTTAAGGAGTATTCCTTGATTAAGGGGTATTGGAGTCCATGGCTTCCGAATCCATCAGGGCCTGACAATCTGAACTACTACGGTTGATGATTTAAACTCTGCATTACCTTAATGGCCCTAGACTCTGGGAATTATGGCCTATTCCTTAGTATAGGTAAATCAGGATTTATGTCATCATCATCAACCGTAGGAAGTCAGCCATAATAATACCAGCAAATACAGATGGCTAATGCTGTTTATCTATACCTCTCCGAGATTGCGGCTGTTGCTGCAACTATCTAGCCATTTTTGCCGTCACCAGTTCACTAACCTCAGCAGGTTAGACAGCAACAGCAGTAGTTGCAGAAATGAAGCTCTTCTTCGTCTGTGGGTAACCTCAAAATCTTAGTGTCTTCGTGTTTCGGGGCTCTGGGTTGTCGCTTTTTCTCACTCATTCTCGGGCAGGCCGGACAAGCGGGCTTACAAGTATTGTATTTTGGGGTGCTTTTTTCCCTCCTACTTAGCAAGGACGAGGCCCGCATTGCAGGGTTCTTTTAGGATGCTTTTGAACTTCCTGATTTCGGGCTCCAGGGTTTCGGATGCAAAAGCAATTCAGGGCGTAGGGATCAGAATTTAGGTTGTGTAGGGGTTCGGATTCATGCTCTCACACTCGGACTCGCCAGATGACGTATAGAGTAAGCATCGGCGAACTGCAATGTGTTGGTTAGAAATTAGTATGAGGATGATTAGGGGGACCCTTGGGGCTACCCAGTAAGGTTTCCTTCAAGACAGCCAGAGCCAGAAGTAGGGTTAAGAAGGGTCCCCTTTAAGGGGTCTCCCTAATACTACCTAAGGCCTAAGACTTGCCTAGGAAAGCTCAGGTATCAGCCGAAGACCCACCGATGAAATTTACAAACTGCTGGAGCCAACAACGTGAGTGACAAGAGACTGAATTACAAGCCATCGCTTGCTTTGCTACTGACCTCCTGCGATAAACTTGCCGACGCATTAGCAGGCCGTCCTCTTCCGAGTCGTTGATCGTCAGCTCACCGCTGCGCTCTTCGGGAACGTCGGTCTGCTCGCCCGCATCGTCGTCCTCAGTCGCTGAATGGCTTCCCTCCTCGTGTTTTGCGAGTGCCGAGAAGTACCAAAGCACTCGAAGTGCGCACAACCAATGGCAATACAATGGAGTCATGCCAGAGCCCGAAAGGAAGTAAGTGCCTGACCTTCAGAAGATCGGACACCAGCGAATGGCAGAGTCTGTCGTTTGCATCCACATCCGTGAGCGGTGCTGACGGTGCAGTTTGCATGGCCCAGCAAACTGCCTCAGCCAAACTTTTCCACAAAGCCGCATCTTGGATAAGCTCACAACAACAAAAATACGATTTGACGCCAAGTCTGGCCCGATCATAGCACCACTGCGTGAGCGAAGCAAAAGCAATGTTAAGCTGTTGTGATTGCAGACAGAAGTGCATATGGTAGACATTGCAGGAACCTCGACAACTCGCTCGGGGTCCAACTACATACGCCAAGCCGCTAAGAGCTGAAGCTGCAGCTAGCTACTAGTTGCCAACAACGACCGTGTTCTCAAGAAGCATATGGCAGTTTCCGAAAATAGGGGTACCGTATTTTGGGGTCCTTATAAGAAGGATCCTACTATTTAGGGTACTGTACTATATTAGGATCCCCTATTTTCGGAAACTCCCATATGTCATATGCCTATGGCAAAAACACAGGTATTGGGCAGCGTCTGCCAGAGTCTGGGGTTATGTGTGTACCGATCTGCGAGAAACGACTCCCCGAGAGCCAACATGTGGAATGCCATGATGGCAGAACCTTATGGCGATATGCCTAAGTGTCATATCACGGGACGGCAACGCAGAAGTCATCACACATGATTCGCCTAACTGTAAACTCCTGAAGCTGCAACAATAAAAGATGAAGACATGACCATGTAGGAACCTGGCAGTATGACAGTGCCTATACATCCATACACTAACATTAGACCATCAACATGTAAGAGTCTCAAAACGCGAACATGCGATACCTCTGGAGTGCAACAATGCAGTAAGAAGCTAGCAAATCGTCATCCAGTAAACATACGATGAGAAGACCAGCAATACCGGCACAACACCTCATAATACAAGCAACTATTAAGTGTGTATTCAGTAGTCTGAACCCTAAACCCCTCTCTTGGCTGTCAAGTCACACACAGCTCCCCCCGAACACCGCCCTGCCCAGAATTTGAGCCAAGACTGCGATTTACGCTCTCGGACAAAGCAGACGAGGTCTCACTGTGAGCAGTCGTACCACGGTGGAAGTGGCAGTCTTAGGGTTGAAGTTTACGGTTTAGGAGCTGGGGGTCTCAGCGTTTAATATTTCTATGGGGTTTCCTAGCACGGGTCATATAGTGTAAACAAGAAGTAGCTGTCCGTTGCCCCTACATCAAACTCCTGAAACTTGGAGAGCCTTACTTAACATCACTCTGCCATGTTGTTGAAGTTGTGCCAACACCCTCGCAACGTTTGATTCATGAGACCATTGTTGGAATCTGCCGCTTACGTTTTACAGTTCAATATTCTCACGACGTTTCTTGGTGCTACCACTGCAGTGTTGTAGGATCGTGTCGTACTGCATGCTTGAAGTACTGCACAACCGAAATGCCGTATTCTGTGGTCTTGGGTCCTTTGCTTGAGTTGTTGCAGGCTGCCTTCTTGTCCTGCGAGCGCCAGTAAAAAGAACACGAGTTGTGCTACTACATTCACAATGCTTTGCGGTATTCTTTCTCGTGTGCTATTGACTTGCTTGTCCGAGCAGTGTACTGTGACTGGTCGAAGCTTTCTGCCTTGTATTCTGAAGCTGTGCACCTTGGTTGCACTATTTTGCCCGTCCTGTTTGGATTAACTACCTGTGCTGCATGCAATCTACAAGCACAACATTTTACTCTCCAACTGTCTCTCTCCCTCCCTCTGCCCTTAAGCCATTGTTGCATAGCAACTGTATTCTGCAAGACGATCCCACTTACATCTTCCTGCACGAGCATAAATCTTGCAACGTCGCCCTAGGCTGCACTCGCCGTTACCTTTGAGAAGACGTGAGTGCAAACGAGCCTGCAGATGTCTTACTAGCAGGTTGGTTTCGGTATCTAAGACCTAGACTCCTGGCTAGTCCACGTAGTTCTATATGCGGATATAGTTGGGGCGTCGATGGTGGGAAGGATCAGGGGCTCACTGGCCGGATTCGTGCAATTATGGAATACTCGCCAGGTTTTCGCCTCTGGCTAGAGCTTCGTCAGACGTTCTCGACGACAGCTCACGTATGAGCCAGTTTTCACGAAATCCTGAACCCATTGACCCATTGAGGCCCCGTTGCGGTGCAGCACGTTAACCGAACATGGATTTCCATCATGTTTGCTGTTGTTTGCTGTTTTTTACTCATGTCGGTTCCTGTGCTGTGGCTACTTTGACAATCAATGCCAACTGTCTTCTGTAAGATCAGACACATCTGTTCACATAACGGTGAGAAATGAGAAATAGAGTTCACCTTGGCGGCAGTGGCGGCAGCAGTAGTCGTGCAGTGTAACAGCAGCAGCAGCAGCACCAGAAGTTCGTAGTTAAAGATCTCTCAAATTATCCTGAAACGAACCCTTCAACCCTCATCTTTATGTTAACCCTAGACCCTATCCCATGGTAACCCTGAGCCCTGGCCATAACTTCTCAACCCTACCCTAATCGGTTCCGTAAACCCGATACCCTCCTAGGAAAGCCTGACTGAAGGCCCTGCTCTCTGGAATTTCTCGGGTCATCTGCAGGGTTGGAGTACCTGAGAAGCCCGGAACTCACAGGGTCTGGGGTTTACGCTCTCACAACTCGGGGGGTCTGGGGTTTAGGGTTTAGCCGTTTAGCCTGATTTTATACACTGAAGGGCCTCTGTGAGGGCTCATATTGCAAGGGGTTTCACACGGGGGCCTTTTGGATGGAAGGGCGCAAGGTTTAGGCTTTGACGCTTTGGGCTTAGGGTTTAAAACAACTTTCCAAGTGTCTCGGGTGGGAAAGGTTCCAGGTTCTTAGATCCAAGGTCTGAGATGACATCATCGGGTAGTGCTCGGCGGCAAACCGCTACCCCAAGTATGGATGCCCCAAAGGGCAAGAGACTTATGGTCAGGACGACGGCGACAGCTGCGCTTGATCGGCCTGCTGCTAAAGCAAGAATGCCCTGTGGTTGAATTGAGAGAGGCCTGGATGCTGACTGCTGAATCGCCTGCGAGGTGCTGACTGTGACGGCTGACAAGATACCTTCCTGAAGTTGCACAGCAGCGTGCCATGCCCTTTGACCCTGTGAAAGAGCTCGTGATAAGTCACTCAGTGCTGACCTTGACACTTCGCTTGCAGTGTCCTGGCATTGCTTGTTCCCGTCTTGCCATCTTCGTTGATCAGTGGTGGGTTTCCCGCATGTGAGCGCAGCCTTCTCATTTTGCTGGCTTCATGTCCACTCGCGCCGACGCAGAGGCCCGCCGCCCGCCGGGTTTTTTGAAATTAGAACAATCGGTTGTTTTGAGGGAGGGGAAGAAAGAACGAAGACTTTATGAAGGGCTGGAGGTTTAGGATGAGGCTGGCCGTGAAGGACCTTGTACAACTGCGCCAAGATCAACTACCCATCCATCTGATACAGCCGTGTTCAGAAGCCTCAATAAGCAGAATCGGATTTTGGGGAGGCATTACCGCAGTCCGTGTGTACAGGGGGAAGTACTTCGAATTATTCCACAAAGCAAGCTCAGGGCGATGCCTCGCAGGTGAAGCTTCCCTTCGCACCGGCCGACCTTAGAAAGACTTTCTCGGGGTTTACGCTCTCGCAACTCGGACAACCTGACAAGGTCTCTGGTGCTGTGTGCTTTGACGGTCGGTACTACGAGCTGGCTTTCGGGGTTTACGCTCTCGCAACTCGGACATGCCAGACGAGGTTCTTGGTGCTAAGTCAGCAGAAGGAAAGACTAGGAGGCCCACCCGACAGCCGAAAGAACAACAGCTCAACAGAAAGTAAGGCCATGTAAGAAGAAGGCTTTCGGGGTTTAGGGTTTGGGGTTTAAGGTTTAGGGTGAATTTTGCAAGTGAGATCTCCACATCACAGATGCCGGAGATTGTGGTCATGGATGCTTTGTCCTGACTCCTTCGGCTCAAGATCTCCAGCTGCGAGGGGTTAGGCCAACTTCAAATTGCAGTTCTTTGGGCCAAACCCCAAGGCTTTAGCGGCGGGCTTTTTGCCGTCGTCGTGTCAGGAAAGCAATAGGATAGTTACGATTACCCTTCCTGGGTGGTCGTTATGATAACCAAGTATTTAATTGTACACCCCAAAACCCTACTCAAACCCTAAACCCTCTACACTCAACCCTAAACCCTACCCTAATCCCCAAACCCTGCTCAAACCCTTGTGAACCCAGGCTCTGTGGTATCAGCTGGGCTGCTCAAACCCAAATCCCATACAGTAGAAGCCAGAAAGTTGGAATATCATTATCGTAACCCCTTTAAGGTAAATTATAGGGGATCCTACCATTAATCCATATTCCAACTTTCTGGAGTTCCCTTTAAGGCCCTGATATTGTCCTCCCATCCGAAGTCGAGCTGCGCCCAGCAAGGTCCTCGATGTCCTTCGCGTGTTCAGGGCTTTCGGGACTTTTAGGATGTTTAGGGCTTTGACTTGCTGCACTTCTCGATTGCGCAGCTGCGCTCTCGCAACTCGGGCTTTAAGTTTGAGTGCAGAGTGTTTGCAGTTTTGCTTGCGGTTTTGGCTAGAGAGTTTGTCCGGGTTTCTTCGAGAAATCTGGATGTTGCTCGGCTTTCCGTTCCCGGCTCGCGGTGGTCGGACGGAGCGCGCATGAGTGCCCTCATGCTAGGATGCACGCTTCAGCAGTGCTTCCATATGTGATCAGCTTGCAGGGACCTTATATAATAAATTCGAACACGGCGACTTGAGGCTGATTGGACGTGGGGCCCCACATCCATACAAGACCGCACACAGAGTAAAGGCAGTTCTTTGAAGAGCAGGTGAACTCTTAACCCGCGCTTAGCTGTGGAGTGCAGCCTTATGGACACGGCGAAATGCATTCAGCGTACGTGCGAGCCGGAGGTGCCTGAACTGCGTCCTGTGCTCTCTGCCAGTTTGCTTGCATCTCAGCAGCAGCGGCGGAGGCTGCTGCTGTAGCCTGTGGCTGGTCTGGCTGGGGCCGCCCAGTACATGACTCCCGCTGCAGCTCATGCACATAATATAGGAGCCCAAATAACTAAAATCGGGTTTGGGGACCCATGATATTATT